CTACGGAATGCTAAAACTTAATCTTTCATCAACACAATAAGAAGTCAGACAATGAAACTCCTCCCCCCCACCTCATCACGTTTAAACCCTATTATTCATTCCTCAGGCTGTTATTTAGTCATCCAAACTAGATACGGTTCCCCCCAACTTCGGATAACAAATATCTCTGCTCCCAAGACTGGTGTGAACAGCTGTGGGCTTCCCACAGAGAATTTTCCTTCAGAGGAAAGATGCTGCATCACAAAAACAGCACGTTTTGCAGGCTCTGAGCATACTAATCCATACAGATACCTGGCAGCAGAGCAGCTGCACTGTCCCAAAACAAAACTGGCTCACTTGGAGTATAACTTCAATGCTTTCCCCACATGCTGCCACGCATATGCTGAATTACATATACCAGTCCATCCCCCCCCCATTTCTTCACATGCTGAAGACATGAATACAAATACTGCCTTACTCTTTCCTGCTCACAAGAGTCATCATGCAGAGGTGATTCTGTCAGGAGAAACATTCAAGGAGAGGCAAGAATGTGACAAGACATTGCAGAGAGATGGCTAAATCTTTGTTAAATGTTGGCCAATGTTGTGAACTTGGACAGTTTCTTTACACACACACATTGTTTTTCTTAGACTTCTTGAGACTCTTCCATCTTTGTCAGGCTCCAGGACTGAGGGGGAGGCAGTGGAGGAATACTGCAAGTCTCCAGATCTGCTGCTTCCTGTCCATCCCTCCCCTCAACGTCATCCTTGACAGTGGGGGTCTTGCACAGCAGCAGCCACTTCTCCCCAGTGCGACTTCAGACCCCTTCAGAGGCATTCAAACTGCAACAAGCAGTGAGTGCCTCATGCAGCAGCTCCTGCCCAGGGTTATTTCTTCATTTCCTGGCAAAGCAGGCACAAATCAATGGGCTGCTTTTATGGTTTGGGTTTTTTTCTTTCCCTGAGAAGCCTTGCTTTCTATTCCAAGGCAAAGTCGTGCTTCAAGCACATGGTATGGCATATGTTATTTCTTTAGCTACCAATCAAGAGACTAGAGGAAACTAGTCTGGTATATATATATTTGCCATTTCATGAAAGCTATAGCATCACCCTAGAACTGTCTTCATCGCAGTACCCAATCTGTCCACACAGGACAAGGCAGCAATAGCTGACAGAAAGGAGCCAGCCCAAAGCAAGCTTGAGGTTTATTTTTGACAACTCCGTTTTAGCAGCTAGAAATAAGAAGCTGTGAATTTACCACTCGTCCATGTCACCTCACCAGAACATGCTCTGTATGAACACCTCTGGAAAGATCACATGATGCAAAAGCAGCTGTGCCCATCCTGCATGCACCAGTCAGGTCTGAAGGGCATGCCTGCAGCCATTTCACACTGATGAAACCAAAGTGACAGATGAGAAATGGCCACATAGGGCTGGGCTGAAGGAACTGTCTCCAGAGGCAAAGCTCAGTGTCCCAGGGCAGGGCGACTGCAGGCATCACTTCATGAGGACAAACAGCAGTCCTTCTCAGAAGAGTTGCTCAAGAACTACAAAAATAAGTTACAGTTTCTTAAAGCAGTCTCTCACCAAAATGTATTAAATGTAATTAAAAATATAAGGCAGATGAGAATTAAGTTCCTTTCCATTTAGACAGGAACTCATATCTTTAAATGCACCAGAGGTATACAGTAATCTTCTAGAAATGTTTTTCCTGTCATGTCTTACTGTTTAATTACATATTGCCATTCCAAACTACCACGACAGATTTTAAGCAAAGTTCTTCTTTTTTTTTTCCATAATTAATCATAGCAAAGATTCATCTGTTCTTCAAGCATGGTGATGACAGCACTGCTTTCACCACTGCAAGGCAATCAGCCCCAGCACTCCTTCCCATAAAGCAAAGAGGGAAGATCACCTATTTGTACAAGACACTGTTGGAACATACAAAGTCACTTTGTATCTGTTACTTCATAGCACAGGGAAGCAGGACAGAAAAACTGCTTTTCTGCAGCCAGCAGCCAGATAGAGGCACAGGCATAGCACAGACTACACACATGCTGAATATCCAACCTACAAATTCAAAGCCACCCAGGAGCAAGCACCCTGCCAGTGAGTCTCCAGCCCTGGCTCCCAGGAAGAGAGGCAAACATGAGGCAACCTCCCTTTGGATTATCACAGCAACACAGTTATTTTAGAGGCAGCTTTAGTTGCTGCCGCAGTCTATTCTAAGAGCAGAAGAGAAGATGTCTCATCAAAACAGCCTGTATCTGCTACACTGAAACTGTCTGGTCAAAGGACAGCCACATCCAGGGCAGAAAATAAAGGCTAACTGGACAACAGAGAAGTCTTACTCTCTTTTCCTTAGTGTCACAAATTACAGAAGTGAGACCACTGGATAAACCCAATGCTTTTCCTTTCCATAGTCAAGCATTTATCATTTACAACAGCTACAGCATATAGCACTCTCACAAGTTTTCTTCTGGAACACTGAAGGAGAAAGTATTTTCAACATAATCAATAACATACAGGGATCTCTGTTCAGAAGCACAATTTTTTCATCCTCTGTTTGGGGATGAATTAGATAACCTGCAATATTACTTCTTTCATCTGTGAAATCCTGTGATACAGGATTGCACAAGTAATATACATAAAACCCCAACCCTCTGTTAATTTATTTTGATTGCTCTATAGAAAAATCATGATTTGCTGCAACACTCTTCTAGTCCTCTCATGATCTGCTGGCAGCTTTCCCATGACAAGTCATTAAGAAAGAAGTTACGCAGCCGGTTCCTCTCATAAGAACAGCAGATGGGCACCACGCAGTCCAGGGCAGCAGCAGAACTCCACAAGTCTTAACTGCATTCTCAGAAGAGCATCATTAGATCCACGCTCAGGTTTTCAGTCAGCCACCACGGTGTTCCTGCCATCTTTATGACTGCAGATGCTCCCAGTTCCCCTACACAAGACAACTAAAGCACAGTGACTACAAAATACAATATTTTGAGTCTGATAGGTTGCTAAAGTTTAAGATTACACATATATTTAAATATATTTATAAATATTCTTACCAGTTAAGGGCCTATCTTTGGAAAACGCTTCCATTGCAAATGATTCTTTTTCCTCCAAATTATAACAAAATAATTTAAATGCATATTTGCACACTTTCTTGATTCACTGCTAGATATGGTCCACATTACTGGTTATGAGCATACAGAACTGTAGAATCATTAAGGTTGGCAAAGACCTCTAAGATCATCTAGTCCAACCACTGACCCATCACCACAACGCCTACCAACCCACCTCCCTCCCTGCCACCTCTAAACACTTCTTGAACATCTCCAAGGACAGAACACCACTCGTTTTCTATTGCAAAAGAAAGTAAAGCAGAGACAACAAACCTTGGCTGACCCTGTGCTCTGTGTCCTCAAACAGAGGCAGACTCCAGAGACCTCAAATAGCAGCAACTTACAAGGTAATGCTCCTACTGTTCTCCTGTGACACTGTGAAGGCCATCCCACACTGGAGAAATCAGCCCAGCAATAAACAATTCTGTTCATTTTGACACTTTAAAAGGAAAAACCCTCTCCTTTCTACGTACCTAAGAAAAATGGAAGCAGATACAGTAATATTTTCCCCGGTCCTGACAACTGGCCTTTAATTCGCTGCCAAGGGTACTGCAGTGAACTTCAGCCCTTTCATTAGGGAATTCCTACCATGGGTTCACTTGATGGAAAAGGTTCAGACCCAGTCATGTTGTATAGTGATTAGTTTCACAAGCTCACACACCCAGATCCAAGTCAGAGTATAATTTTTTTTTTTTTTTAAATATTATTTAAGAGCAATCTCTGCTCACAATTTTTATTATAATACACAAATGCCTTAGCCTTCCAAGTCTAAGAACGTATATAATTTTCTCATTGAGACAGAAAACTTACAGTGATTTTAACGGGACAGCTACAATTGGCCTCCCGAACCCAAACAACAGCAGTCACTGCACCATCCATGCATCCAAGGAAAACCTCAAAGTACCGTGGATAAATAAACGTGTTAAACACAGGCACACAAGCTGTCTGCATGCTGTCTCCAAACCCAGAGTACTGACAGGTTCTTCCTACACACCTACAGTCAAGTAAAGTCACATCCGAAGCTTTAAAAGTAACAAAAGAGAACGTACACAAGCACTACAGCACTCAAAGCTTCAAGCCACAAGCGTCTGTTTCGTAAACTGCACTTTTGGAAGTTAAGAGACAGACTCCATCCACCACAGCTCTCGTAACAGAAACATCTGGGAACTGTCTACGCAAGCATCCAGTTTCAAATTCACACATGCTCCATCTGACAGATAAAATCACAGTCAGTGAAGGACTTATGGTTTTTAATGTATAGAACTTCTTTTTCTTTTTAAAAAGCATGTTATATAAGTTACGTATATGGAATAAAACTCTTCCTCTGATACGGGTGGCACCCGGCACTTTAGAAAGCAAAGAGCCCTTGAGGCTAAAGCTGTGGGCACCAGACCCCGGACAAACACAGCTCTCCTCCACCGTGTAAGCGACACACTTCTGCACCTACTGAGTCTCCACTGCTGATATGAGGATGGTCCCTCATCTCTCCGGCACCCACCAGAGCCTCAGAAAGACTGACACGTACCAAAACAAAGTCCTCATTCATTTTCATATCTGCCGGAGAAAGTGCCCGAGCCGGGAGCCTCAGACGGCTGCTTTACGTGGAGAAGGAAACGCACCGGTTTACTGGCCGGGCACCACCGCGGCACGCCGCACGGCATCACTGCTCCGTGCGGGGATAAGAGCTGCCAACGGCAGGTTGCATAAGAGCACTGTAAGCACACGGTTATTTACAAAAGCAGAGGTAATTACAACGCGGGAGGTGGATCGCAAACAAGCAGACTTGACTAACGATTTTAAAAAAAAAAAAAAAAAGAGGGAGAGAGAGACGCACAGCTCCTGCTGCTACTCAGCCACGGGACACTCAGCGCTCAGGACCCCGCCGAAAGCCGCTTACCGGAGCGGGACTTGATGATGTCTCCGAACTCTCCGTGCGTCGCGGCGGCCCCCTCCTCGGGCGGGGCGAGGCGGGCCATGCCTCCGCGCTGCGGCTCCGCTGCCGGCGCTGCTAAGCCCTCCGCCTGGAGGCTCCCATGGGTCCCGACTCAGCACCTGGGGGCGAGCAAAGAGGCGGCGTGACACGGCCGCCACACCCCCGCCGCGACTCGGCCCGGAAGGGGGTACCGGGGGCGGCCCGACGCCCCGCTCCCGCCCGGGGGCGGCCGGCGGGAGGCCCGCCCGCCCCGGCGCTTCCCGTCCCGGCTCCCCGCGGCGGGGCCCCTTCTCCGGCGGGGAGCTGGGAACGAACTCGGCCCCGTCTCGCCCCGCGCCTCCCGCCCCAACGCCGCTCACCGCTCGGACTCGGCGGCGGGAGCGGCTCCGCTTCCCTCCGCGCGGCTCCTCCCGTCCCGCGGCGCCGCCGCCGAAGCCACAACTTTCCTGCGAGCCGCCGCCCCTCCTCCGGCCCGCGCGGCTCCTCCCCCGGCCCCCTTTGTTAGCCGGGCAACGCGGCGGCTGCGGGAGAGCGCCCAGGGCTCGCTCCGAGGGGCGGGGCGGCGCCCGCCGCGGGACACGGCCGGGACGGGGCGGGGCGGGGCGGGGCGCGGCTCCTCCTCCGGCCCCCGCGGTCCCGAGGCCGGGGCTCCCGCGGGGCGGGCGCGGATCGGCGTGGTCAGCGCGGCTCCGCCCACGGCGCCTCCCCGGCCGCACCTGAGCGCCGCCCGGCCCCGCCCCGAGCCTCAGGAGGCGCGCGGGGTGAGCGGCAGTTTGCGCTGGGGTCTGCCGCCCTCTGCTTTGGGGGCGTTGAGCGTCGGGTCGGATGGGGCTCTGGGCTGCCGGACCCTGTGGCTGGGTGGGTTGGATCTGGGTGAGCTGTAAGGTCCCTTCCAACCCAAGGGCTCTATGAAACAACGATGAGATGTATTTTAGCTTGAGCTGTGATACTTAGCCACATCTTACCGTGGCAGAAAGGCAGTCCCGACGGGAGCACGGACCGGCCGTGGTCCACGGGCTGCGGGAGGGAGCTGCCGTGTCCCATCGCCAATCTCTGCGTCTAAGCAAAGGGTCCTGATTTTTATAAGCTCGCTCTGAAAGCACATACAAATTATTTGGAAGTACGTTGCGGTTTAACCTGGTAGCGTTTCCTTTTTCTGCTTTAGACAGAAGCAGCGTCACTTTCTCCTTTGAGGGAATCGAACGAGGCTGAACGCATTTTCCTGGTGCGCCTCTTTCCACAGCGGTGCTCACTCGGCTGCTGATCAAAGTCTGAGCTTTCCGAGCTAGTTACTGACGCTGTCGGCTTCTCAGTTGCAAGGGCTGTAATTTTTATATTCGGGTCTTTAGGCACAAAGTCCATCGAGGAAATAAAGAAAATAGATGGGGGGGGGGAAGCCACCCAAATCTTTAATACTCTGTACACGTGCACCTACAACCATCCTGGTTTTTGCAGACCATTAATATCATCTGCAATGTGTGCCACAGTTTACCTTTCTGCATAATGCAGAATAAATTAGGAAAATAAAGGAAAAGCCCCCGAAGCCCTCAGACGACATTAAGAAGGCAAAGACAAGCAGAATGCAGAAAGAGAAACCGAGAAGAAATGTGCTGATGTGGAGCCCTTGAACTCTGACCCGAGAGTCAATAACACCTCATTCCATAATGCATGGAAACAAGAGAGTCGCGAGACCGAGCGTGCCTTGCCTCGGCTCCTTGTCTTTGCTCTCAGCATTTCTATTTTTGGAAAACACCCATAATTGATAGGATTGCTACAACCAAGAATTCTGTGTATCTCATTACCTGGAGATTGACTGCTATAATAATGCCTGTACTCACTGATCAATGTTTTGTCATGATTTCAGAAAACCATTCTGTATTCAGGAAGAGAGGAGATACCAAACAGATTGCTGTGTCAGGAGACTGTCCCTTATGTCCCACCCTGTGTATCCCGGTGTGCCATCACTCCCAGGTCCCAGGCTCAGCACACTGTCACTCTGCAGACATTTCTTGCACAACTTGCATCCCAATCGACATAACAGCTCCTTGGTGCTTCTGTGTCACACCAGCTGCTCAGAACAAGTCCCTCCCTGTTTCCTTTTCCTCTCATCTGAAGGAAAAACTATAGAAAAAAAAAAGACATATTAATTAGAAATTCTCCCTCTGTATGTTTCCTCTGTGAGGAAAATTGTCAGATTTTTACAAAAGCTTGGGTTGGTTCTACCTATGATTCCTCTGTCAGTAGCTTTCACAGATGTTAGTATATCAGAGAGCCATCCTTTGCTTGTTCCTTCTCCTTTCTTTTCCTGTAATCTAAGTGCCTGAGAATCTCTTTACTGTTCAACTAATTATCCGAAATATTGAAAATCAGCCCTAGCACTTGTTTTTTTTAAAGGTGGGCACAGCACTTTCTACCCTCACTTGCTCAGTTGGGGATCTGATTTTAACATTAGGTTGCTTATTTTTAGTTGAAGCTTAGCTGCCTTTGTGTATAAACTCCCTTAGAGCTCCTCTACATCACTCATCTTGTTAATATTTAATGTACTTTTGTTCCATCACTTTTTCCGCTGCTCCTGCTCACCACTGTTACCAGGGGCTGCCAGGGACACAGACGTGGAGCAGCCCTGGGCATCCACCTCTCTCCTGAGCCCAACAGCAGCAAGCCTGACCCCACTGCCTCGCTCCCAGCTGCAGTGAGGAAGGCACCCAACTCCTCTCTTTGCACGGGAGATGATGCAGACGTGACCCCTTCCTTATAGCCACCCCATCCAGCAGCACCCGGTCATACTTCTTGATGAAATTCAGAACTGTTTTGCCACAGACAGCAAATCACGTGTCAGGAGGAGTGTGTCAGAAAGCTGTTGGTACAGAAAGCAAGGGGGTGGACCCACAGCCCAAAAAACAGAGCAGGCCAGGGGTAGAGCAGCCTTCAAGCAAAGTGCCCATTACCTTCACCACCACATTGCTCTTTGGTCGTCCCCACATTGTTCACGTGACTACATTTCCATATCCACAAGTCAGGATGTGAATCTTCAGAGGTTCTCTTAACTCTAATTTTATCATCTCATTAGATTCGATACATCACAGAATCGTAGGGGTTGGAAGGGACCTCCAGAGATCATCGAGTCCAACCCCCCTGCCAAAACAGGTTTCCTACACCAGGCATCCAGGCGGGTCTTGAATATCTCCAGAGAAGGAGACTCCACAACCTCCCTGGGCAGCCTGTTCCAGTGCTCCGTCACCTCACCGTAAAGAAGTTCTTGCGCACATTGGTGTGGAACTTCCTATGCTCCAGCTTCTGGCCATTTCCCCTTGTCCTGTCTCCACACACTGCTGAAAACAGTCTGGCCTCGCCACTCTGCCCCCCACACCTTAGATATTTATAGACCTGGATCAGGTCCCCTCTCGGTCTTCTTTTCTCAAGGCTAAACAGACCCAGTTCGCTTAGCCTTTCTTCATAGGGCAGATGCTCCAGGCCCTTCACCATCTTTGTGTCTTTTTTGTACCGGGGAGCCCAGAACTGGACATGGTACTCCAGATGAGGCCTTACCAGGGCAGAGTAGAGGGGGAGGATCACCTCCCTCATCTATTCATTAGACCAGAATCAAGGCAATATTGTGTGCATAAAGTACACTGGAACTTTGTATCTCAAGTTTCAGCCATTTTTAATATCTTCATTATAAAACCCCCCAAAATTACCCTGTATTAATAGAAATGCTAACATCCTTTTAACTGCAGTGACATTAATTGCAGCTACCATAATTTATCATCATTCTGAAGAATATAACCCTAGAAGTACATTAAACAAGAGTGCATTAATGAACAATTACAGTAATCAATTTACCCTCCCAACATAACTCTAAGCTGGAGCAGAAAACCACCATCATCAAAAAGACAGAAACCTTTGGTCAACATTGTGCTGCCACAGCCTGCAAGGGCAGGTGAAAGCTGTGAGTCAAAGTCACTCTTGGTACAAACTGTTTTCTGTTTTGGGTTGGGTTGTTTTTTTTTTTTTGGTTGTTTCTTTTGGTTGTTTGTTGTTGTTGTTGTTGTTTTGTGTGTGTGTGATGCTTCACCCTCCTATGAACAGCAGTGCTATCTATCAGCACAGGTTTGTTAGTGGCTAAATGAATAAACAGACAATGGCAGCGTTTATCGGTTAGTGGTTAGAATAGGAAGTTCTTGTGTTAATACAACATATAAACTTGGGGAACTTGCCTCATTCCTGTAGCAACTTGGTTCACTCTTGTTTACAAGTAACATCTTCCATCGTAGCTGCATCAGTTTTTCAATTAAATCATACATTAGTCAGAGAGACAATTTGGAAACATTTTCAAAAGGAAAGCACTCAGCATTCTGCAAAAAAATTGGTGGATGTGCAGACAGGGTGTTTGTACACCTTTTTATTTCAAAGGCAGGCAGTAGGAGAAGATGAAAATTATTTTTACAAAACATAAAAAGTAACTCAACCATTCTGTGAATCTTCTCAATATACAATGCATTCAAACCAATTTAAACAACAACAACAAAAAAACAAGTGCAACAAATATACTTTTCCACAAATGACCATTATTTTTTACTTTTGCCTTACATTACACTAGGCAATCCGGTATGTGTCACTATTTCTTCGCTGTATCCTGTTAAATGATCATAGTAGATGTTCTGTACTTGCCCCCTTAAGAAGTTCCCCAATCAGAAGAATAATTTAAGATACTACATATGAGATCACTCAAGTGTTAATAAAAGCTCTTTCTGCTGCAGAACACGGTTCATTAACTTCCATATCAGGATGGTGGCACAGCCCTGCCCACCAAAAGCAGCAGCAAAGAAGTTCGTGCTGTGGATGGCATGCTACTAAGCACTTTCTACCGGATCCAACCCTTGCACAGACTGCACTGAGTAGTCTGTGGCTTTTACCCTCCTGAATCATGCAAGGACACGGGTGGTTACCAAGGTGGACAAGAGCCAGCCTAGAAATTCCTTGGCATTGATCTCTGCAGCTGCAGTCCAGAAGCTGCATAGCTTCTCTCACAGCCCTGAACAGATGTTCACAGATTCGGCCTCCAGCAAAGAGAAGTCTGACCAGGATGTGCCATGCCTACCAGGGCAGCCCTTTAAGAAAACCTCACTTTAGTGGTTCCGTCTGGATTCATACGACTACCATAGGCACCATCTTTTCAAAACACGTGAGCTGGCAGGTGCTCTACAGGCCATGGCACTGGACAAAGTGTACGCACAGATCTCTGTGCTGCCTGGGTCACCTTGCTTTGCACTGCTTCACACTTTCATGTCTGCTTCAAGAAAAGCTGGCCTGAATAAAGTCAGTGACAACCATGTAGTTACATCTACTCCCATCAGTAGTGTGGTCTGAACCTAGTGAGCACTGACGGTTTTGCAGTGGGACAAACAGGCTGATTTATGCCATTAGGAGTGTACAGAAGGAGCACACAGCATGGTTTGCAGAAGCCATGCCATCAGGGGCACACTTGGGGCAATGATGATGCTCTGAGGAGCAGCCTGTGAACACAACACCAG